TCGATTGGTGAGTGGGTATAGTGTGGTCATACACATGCACTATCTCTTTACTCCCCATTCTTGTATTAATTTGAAAATCACACATTGTTATTAATTGTATATCATACCTACTATAACCAATATAAATTGAAATTGTAATGAAAGTTTATTTTTAATTTTTTTTAATTTCTTTTTTTTTAATTTTTTTTTCCGCCATCATTTTTTTTTTTTTTTTTTTTTTTTTTTTTTTTTTTTTTTTTTTTTTCCCCTTTTTGTTTTTAGTATTACTCTTATTTAATTTAATAAATTGTTTAGATAAAATCAATACTTATAATAATATAGTGTGAATTATAGATACTCATATTATATTTAATAAAAAACAAATTTTTCAATACAGCCACCAAAAAAAAACAAAAATAAATTAATTATAATAAAAAAAAAAATAAAGTTACAAATTATTTTTTTTTTTTTTTTAAATTTTTTATTTAAATTTTTTATTTTTTATTTTTTATTATTTTATTCAAATTGGTCAACGGTCAACACACACACTCATACAAGGTGGAGAATTCTATTAGGTGTGTAGCATAAATTTATTAACAAATAAAAATAAATTATTATAAATAACAACAATTATTTGGTGTGTGCATCATTGCATTTTTATACATACAAACTTAACAATTAACATTAAACATTTTTCAGACATACTAAAATAAAGAAGCTCAATTAAAATCAATTTATTTTTTAATTAAAATTAATATTTATATTTATATTTTGGCGGAATAAAAAAAATACAATTTTTTTTTTTATTATCATCATTATTATTATTATTTATTTATTTTATTATTATTTCAATTAATTTTCTAAAAGTTATTATTATTATCATAAAGAAATTAAATATAATATACCCAATTTAAATTATACATCATCAATAACTAGTTTTGTTTATTTAATAAATTATCAAAAAATTTGTAAATATGGACCATAAATACAATAACTATAACAAAAATAAGTACATTAAAAAAGAGAAAAAACCAAATCCACCATCAACCAATCTTTATATCAAGGGTTTTGATTCACATTTTTCTGATGATGAATTTTTAAAATTCTTTTCCCAATTTGGTACAATTAAAAGTCATCAAGTAAATGAAAACCAGAAAGGTCTTTTTGCTTTTTGTGTAAGTTTATTTACTATTTTATTATTATGGTCCTACAAGAAACAAAAATTAATTTTCATTATCATCATAAAAAAAAAAAATAAAAAAAATAAAAAAAAACGTGTTTTCAATTTTCAAATTAATATAGGAATATGCTAACCAAAATCAAGCCGATAATGCTAAGCTCTCACTACAAAAAATTCATTGGAGAACAAAAAAACTCTACTGTGATTATGCATCATCCTATAAAAATCCAAATAAACCATCAAATATATACCCAGAAGAACTTCATGATAATTATGTTGATAATTGCAATATTAACAACAATATTATTAACAATAGTAATAATAACAATAATAATGATATTCCTTTAGATTTATCCTCATCGTCAATATATTTTAATGATTATAATAGTAACAACAATATCAATAATAATTATAATAATAATATTAATAATATTAATAATATTAATAATAATAATAATAATAATAATAATAATAATATTAATATTAATAATAATAATAATATTAATATTAATAATAATAATAATATTAATAATAACAATAATAATAATAATAATAATAATAGTTATAATTATAATAGCCAACAAATCAATGCTTCATCATCTTTCCCAAAATCTAGGCTTTTTGTTGGCGGTTTTGGCGAAAATAATAAAGCAGAAGTTATTAGATTATTTTCAGAAATTGCTCCAATTGTAAAATATCATTTTGATGAGAAAAAAAATTTTGCTTTTGTGGAATATGGTGGCCCAGAGGAGGCTGAAAGAGCTTTGGCAAGATTTAAAGATTATAATATGGGGGAAGGTAGATCTTTAAGATTAAACTATGCTCTACCGCCAGGTCAAAGTAATAATGGTGGTTTAAATACTAGTACAGGTGGTATTTCCACTTTTCCCTTGAACCATAGTAATGGTAATATTGTTACTACCAACAGCAACAGCAACAATAACAATAACCACAACAACAATAGTAATAGCAGCAATAATAATAGCAGCAATAATAATAGCAGCAATAATAATAGCAGCAATAATAATAGCAGCAATAATAATAGCAGCAATAATAATGGCAGCAATAATAATAGCAGCAATAATAATAGCAGCAATAATAATAGCAGCAATAATAATGGCAACAATAATAATAGCAGTAATCGTAGAAGTAAGTACAATTATTATTTTACCACCATCTTTTTTTAATTTTTTTTTTATTTTTATTTTGTAAATTTTTAGTTTTTTTTTTATTAAAAAAACAAAAACATCACAATTTATTTTTATCCTCATATCTATTTAATATTTGTTAAATTGGTGTTAAATCAAAGTTGTGTATTTTTTCCACTTTTTTTTTTTTTTTTACAAATTTTTCAAAAAAAAAACGAATTTTTTTTTTAAAATTTTCCAATTTACTTTTTTTTTTTTCTTTTTTTTTTTTATATTCTCTCTTTATTACTTTTTATATTAATAATGGTTTTTCTAAATAATAAAGGATCAGCTTCACCCAATGGAATATCATTAAAAAGACAAAGGTATGAAAGTGGAAATATAACTGATAGAAGTAGATCAAGAAGCAAATCTCCAATGAAGAAATATAATTATAACAATGGTTATAATAACTATAACAGTGGAAATGGGTTCAACAATAATAGTAATAACAATAATAACAATGGAAATAATGGTTATAATAATAATAATAACAATAATAATAATGGTAACAATTACAATAATTATAATAACAGAAATTATATGAGATCATCAACTGGTGGTAGTGGTTATCAAAGCGATCAAAGTAGAGAAAGAAGTAAGAGTCCTTATCGTAGTAGATCAAGATCTAGAAGTAACTCAAGATCAAATAGTTTTAATAATAACAACAACAACAATAACAACAATAGATTTAATAACCAAAACAACAGTAATTATAGAAGACACAGTTATGGCAACAATAATAACAATAACAACAACAATAGTAATAATAATATTAACAACTATAATAATAGTAATAATAATTATAACAATAAATCATACCATAGTAACAATAAGAGATATAGTTATGGAAATAATAAATATGTCAATAATAACATTCAACAAAGAGGTAGAGAAAGAGATAGATCAAGAAGTAGATCAAGATCAAATTCAAGAAATAGATTTTATCATAAAAATAGAGATCATTTAAATAAATCTGATAGCTACAACGAAAATCATGACTATAAACAAAAGAGATCTTCTGTTGATTCAAATAGTGCCCATAACAACAATAACAACAATAGTAATAATATTAACAATGAAGATATTAACAATTCAATCGAAGATTATGATAACAGTATCAACACAAGTAAAAATGAAGATATCGACAATGAATATAACAACATAAATAATAGTCAAAATGAAGCTATTATTTGTCAATCTAGTGACAATGGTGATAATCTAAAAATATATGATGGATTTGAAGATAAACAAGAGGTATACTACTCAAACAATATTGATGAAGAAGAAATGGATAGCAAGAATAATAGTGACGAAGAAGAGGCTAGCTATGTGTTGGATAAAGATCACCCCAATCACAGTGAAAATGAACATTCTCAAGATGAATTTGGTGAATCTTTAAAGAGAAATGAATCAGATAGCGAAGTCATTAAAAAGAATACTGATGAGCCAGGAAAAGGGGATTATCAAAAGGACGTGGATTTTGAAGACAAAAAAGAAATTGAAAATAACAATAGTGAAAAAGAGTTTAAAAACAGTGAATCTGGTGAAATCTCTATCAAAAAAGAGGAACAAATCAAAAATGAAATTGAATTAAGACCACATGTTAAAGAAGAAAAAGTTAAAGAAGAAAAAGTTAAAGAATCACAAGACCCACATATTGGTAGTAATGAATTTATCGTTTGCAGTTCAAATACAACACCAACCATTACCGAATCTGACCCAATGTTCAATAGTGATTCGTCATCTAATGCAACAAATCCACTCCCATCAAGCCCCTTACCACCATCACCAAAAGCTGCCACTGCTTCATCAAATACAACCACAACCGGCAGTCCAAATATCAAAAGCGATGACATCAATATCAATAACAACCATAATAACAACGATAACAATAATACACAACATTCACCAGAATATTACAAAATTATGGAAGCCCTCAAAAAATTATTTTATACACTTATGGCAGAAATTCAAAAGAAGAATTATTCGCAAAATAAAAATTCAGAAAATGAAAAGAAAGAATTTGATTCATTAAGAGGAGATCTTCATAATTTTAGAAAAGAATCAATTGGTAAACAAGATTATCTTTGGAAGAAGTCTGATGGTGAATCGGAAAGAAGATTCACTGATTTGCACAAAAAACTTAATGAGGATTTCAATAAAAAGATACAATTATTTGAAAAAGTGGTAATGGATGGATTCAACAAAATTATGGATGACACAAGTGTGTTTAAAGGTGAACTTCAAAATTTAAAAACAGAGATAAGGATGATCGATGTTTCAAAACAAGACTTTTTAAATATGGGATACAAAGTTGATCAGTTAACAGGAGAATTAAAAAATTTAAGAAGTACAACTGCTCAAACATCACAATTGTCAAATAACAACCAATCGCAAACTAATGAAAAAATTACAAAAATAGTCGATATAGTTTCAAAATTTGACGAAACATTAAATAGCTTCACCTCTGCTCAACAACAACTAAATGAGGAATTCCAAAACAAACAATTACAACTACAGCAACAAATCAACCAAATTCAACAACAACTACAGCAACAAAGCTCTCAACCATCTTCTCAACAATCCCAAAATGGCCCAGCGTTTGGTTCATTTATGAAAAAACTTTATCCTATTGATGCCTTATCAAATAAAATTTTTAGTGTTGAAACCAAATTGGATGGTTTAGAGTCTTTTATGACTGATTTTAAAAAATGATATAATTAATCAAATTCGAACTGTTATAAATAGTAATACCAATCATAGTAATAACAATAGTACAAATATAAATACAAATTCAAATACAAACAATATTAATAATAGCAGCAATAGTAACAGTAGCATTTTAAGTGATAAAGACAATAGTGACGAAGATGTTCCTCCTCCAATTTATAAACGTCCTGGTAGAACAGCCCGTAAACAAAAAAATAAAGATTAAAAATGGTAGAAAATTTAATATTTCAAGATTAGTAATCTTTAAATTTTAGATTTTTTTTTTTAAACAATTCTTTATTTTATTTATTTTTATTTATTTTTATTTATTTATTTTAATTTATTTCAAAAAAAAAAAAAATTTCTTTTTATGAAATTTCCGAAACATTTTTTTTTTTTCTTTTTTTTTTTTTTCTTTTTTTTTTTCTTTGTTTTTAAAATACTTATTTTTTTATTTCTTTTATTTATAGTTTTTTAGTTATAATTTTTTTTTATTATTTTTTATTATTTTTTTTTATTTTAATTTTTTTTAATTTTTTTTAAATTTTTATTTTTTAATTTTATTTTATTTTTTATATTTTTTATATTTTTAATTAAACATAACTATTTTTATTTGTAAATAATCTATTTAAATTATATGTATAATGTCATCTAGAAATAGTAGAAGTAGAAGTAGAAGCAGGAGCAAAGAAAGAGGTGAAAGACGAAAAGAAAGGGATTATTACAGTAATGATAGAGGAAGAGATAGAGAAAGAGAATCATATAAAGAAAGAGAAAGAGATTCATATAGAGACAGAGAAAGAGAAAGAGATAGAGAACCATATAAAGAAAGAGACCCATATAAAGAACGTGATAGAGAAAGAGAATCATATAGAGATAATAGAGAACCAACCAACAGAGATAGTTACAGAGATAATAAATATAACAAAGAGAAATTAGATGATTCATATAAAAAAGATAGTTATACAAATGATAGAAGAAGCTTTGATGATAATAGAGATAGATCCTATCAAAATAAAGATACCGAATCAAAACAAAATACCACCACCACAACAACAACAACAACAACAACAAATACAAATACAAATTCATATGAAAGAAAAAACTACGAAAGAAATGAAAGAGGTTATGAAAGAAATTATGATAGAAATAATAAGGGTTATGAAAGAAACAATAGTGGTAATAATTATAGTAACAATACTGGCGGCCTCAGTTTTCTTGAATATAGAAAGAAACTAAGAGATGAGGCACAATGTAGCCCTGTTTATGAAAGATCTCCATCACCACCAAGGAGAGAGGAAGATATCGACAAAATAGAAGCAGGTTTTCAAATTACATCAAAAAAAGAAAAAAAATCATCACATAGACGACGTTCACGTAGTGAATCATCAGATTCAGACTCTTCAAGAGATAGATCATCAGATAGAAGAAGGAAGAAAGATAAAAAGAAAGAAGAGAAAAGAAGGAAGAGAAAAGAAAGAAGAAAGAAAAAGAAGAGTAAAAGATCAAGGTATTCAGATTCATCAGATTCATCAGATTCATCATCATCATCAGACTCATCAGATAGTGAGCACGAAAAATCATCCAAAAAACATCGTCATAATCATCTTAACGACTCATCAATGTGGGAAGAAAAAATTGAACAAACCCAACCGTTATCAAACAGAGATATTGGTCCAAGACCTATTGCTGAGGTTCAAGTTGGTAGTTACGGTGGTGCTATGATGCCAGGTGAAGCAGATGCTATGGCTCAATTCGTTAAAGATAATAAACGTATCCCAAGAAGAGGTGAAGTCGGTCTAACTAGTGACCAAATTGAAAATTTCGAAAATATTGGTTATGTTATGAGTGGTTCAAGACATCGTAGAATGAATGCCGTTCGTCTCCGTAAAGAAAGTCAAGTTTATTCAGCAGAGGAACAAAAGGCCCTTGCCATGCTCAATAGAGAAGAAAAAGCTAAACGTGAAAATCGTCTATTGGCTGATTTTAGAGATTTAATTAATTCAAAACTTCAAGCTGATTAAAATAAATAAATAAATAAATACTAATGAATTTTTTTTAAAGTTGTTGATCATTTTTTTTTAATTTTGGGGTGAAGTGGTGGATAATTTTTTTATTAAAAACAATCAGTTTGGGGTGAAAATAAAATAAAAAAAATAAAAAAAAATCTTGTTTGTGAATTTTTATTTGAAACCTTCCATCAAATGTAATTTTAAAATGGTTATAATAATATAAAAAAAAGTGTAAAAATTATTTAAATTTCATTATTTTGATTTTAAATAGATTATGCATTTTTTTTTTTTTTTGTTTTTTTTTATTTTTAAATATTGTGATTTTTAAAAGGTCTTAAAATTAAACACACTATATATTTATCTGTTTACAACATAAAATCAAAATAAATAGATATCTTTTTTTGATTTTATAATTTTAAAAAATAATTTTGTTTTATTATTATTAATATTTTATATTATAATTATTTTTATAAATACAAATCGGTATTATATTTTTTTTTTTTATTTTTTTTAAATATAAAAACAATTAAATAAAGATAATAACAAACAAAAAATGGGCACAGAATTACAAGAAATTAATAATCAAGAGGAATGTAGTATAGATATGGATATGCCTACCCATACTCCCGGAACAAATAGATTCAACCAAATAGATACAAAAAATAAAAATAGATCAGGGGCTGTAGAGTGTCTAAAAAAAAATTGCCTATTATTAACTGCTTGTATAGTTCTCTTTTGCACTGTGTGTGTTATAGTGGTATATTTCGAAACAAAAAGTCCAAATTAAAAAAATAACAAAAAAATCAAATTTTGTAAATTATTGTAAAAAATCTAAAGTCCTGTAAAATTAATCAAAATTTTTTATAACTACCACCTATTATCAGTATTTGAATTTAAATAATCATGTATACTATTTCAACAATAAAAAACCCAAAAGATATTTATTTTATTTATTAAAAAAATTATAGTTTATTTTATTCTTTAATATTACTATTATACAATGTTTTCTAAATTTTTAAATGATTGGATAATGATTGAAATTGCAGCAGCACCTGGGTCCATAACATTAATAGATCTTTCACCCAAATACGAGGATCTACCCTTTTTAGCCATCATTTCTATTGTGCTATTTGCTCCATTGTGGGCAGCATTAGCAGCCAACTTTATAGTATTTTTTAAATTGAAAGAATCTCTGGTTTCTTTAATTGATTTTTGAACAGATTCGACAGCTGGGACTAAAGAGTCAAGCATTGTGCAATCCCCAACCTTTGACTTACCCAATATCCCAATTGCATTGGCAGCTTCGCAAAGTGCTTTGGACCAAGCCTCTAATGAAATTGAATTTTGATCTTTTCGTGATTCTTCATAGAGAACATTTGAGAGTTTTAAAAAGAAGATTGAATAAAAAGGACCTGATGACCCACCTAAAGTATCTTGAAGAACTGTGCTGATCTTTCTGAATGCATAGCATGGTTGGGAAAATGGTATAATTTCAATAAATTGTAAAATATTATTTGCTGCTCTTTCTAAGGTCAAACCAATATCACCATCACCCACACGAGAATCTAAATCTGTTAAAAGATTTGAATTTTCTAATAATGCTTTGCATGAAAACAATACCATATTTTTAATAACTTTGCCGGTTTCATCAGAAACTTTTATTGATCTTAAATTTTCATCTTTGGGGTATTAGAAAGAAAATAATTAGTATTTAAATCAACAACATAGCTAGCTTTAAAGGAAATAACTTACAGTTCATTTGATGTGAGTCTTCTTTTTTATTATATTGTAATGATCTAGATTTGGTTATATTTGGTCTTGAAACACTATTTGTTGGCCATGCTGGAGCAGAAGTTCCAAAGTCTATTAAATCCACTATACCTGATTCTTTATCATCAAATGACAAGAGTGTTATACTTATACCAGCCATCTCTAATGAGGTCATTAATGTGCCTTGAATTAATCTTTCAATAATAAAACCTTTTTCGGTTAAATAGTTTAAAACATCTCCTGCTATAACTGCCAATTCCATATTTGTAGTACTACCGAGATTATTAATTAAAACAATCAATTGTTTATAATCATTTGGTAGAATTTTTAAAATATTATCTATTAATGATTTCTTTGAAAATAATAATGTTAGATACTAATGTTTTATTAAAATGAATAATTAGACATTGTAATATGCTTACAGAAATATTTTTTGAAGTATCCATTTTGGTTTTTAAAATACCAGGCTCACCATGAATACCTAAACCCAATTCCATTTCATCGTCATCAAGAGAAAATGATGGCTTTCCGATTGCAGGGATTGTGCATGATGAAAGACCAACACCCATTGTATTTAATCTTAGTGATGAAGATGGTGAAATAAATTTATTATAAAATTCGATAATTTCATCAATTGATTTACCTTGTTGGGATAGTGCACCCAAAATTTTATGAACCAATACAGTACCTGCAATACCTCTTCTATTTTGAATTGATTTAAATGTTACTGATAAATCTCCACCTTTTTCAACCAAATGATCATAGTTTTGAAGAATTGAAGATACATCGTCGTCCACAATTATCATTTCCACTCTTAAACCATATTCTGTTTGTGCCATCATTTGAGCAATACCAAAATTTAATCTATCACCTGTATAGTTTTTAACAATTAAAATACATCCTTTTGTTCCACAAACTGCTTTAATTGCTTCTAAAACTTGCTTTAAAAAAAAATTAGTCATATTACAATATATATTAAAATAACCTAGTAATAAAATAAATACCTTTGGATTTGGTGATGCAAAAACTTCGCCACAAACACCAGCTGATAAAAGACCGATAAAACCACAGTGACTTGGTTCATGTCCTGAGCCACCCCCAGAAATTAAAGAAACATATTTATCTTTTCTGCATAAATAAAAAATAATGTTTATAAAAATATTTTTTTATAAAAAATAACAAGTTAAAAAAAAAAAAAAAAAAGCTAAAAAAAAACAGTGATACACGCGCGCACACACACACAAAATAAATTGGGTTGAAGTGAAAAAAATAACTATATTACAATAATAACAACAAATGTGGTTGGGATCTATATTTACCTCTCTTGACAATCTGATCTAACTACAACATTTAAACCGTCAAGTTTTAACATGTGTTCATTAGATAATGTCCAACCTTCAATCATATCTTGAACAACATTATTGTTTTGATTCAATATTTTTTTCATTTTTACAAAATATTAACATTAAAAATATTAATATAAATATAAATATAAATATAAATATAAATATAAATATAATAATGATAAAAATAAAAATAAAAATTAAAAAAATTAAAAAAAAAAAATTAAAAAATTAAAAAATTAATTAATGAGGTTTTTTTTTTTCCCATTTTTCCAACAATATGTAAAACCCAACGACAATCTCTTTAAAAAGAAACCCTATTATGTGTATTTATTTATATATAGATTAAAAACAATTAAATATAAAAATATTAAAAAATTAACCAAGTTTTTTTTTTAAAAAAATAAGAAATTTAAACATTTATTTTTATTAAAATTAAATTTTTTTTTATTATTTTTTTAGCATTTTCCAAAATGCATAAATAATTAAAAAAAAATTCAGAAATTTTTTTTTAATTTTATATACATATAATAAGCTAATCATAATAATTTTATTTATTTATTTATTTAATTGTTTCTAAATTTTTTAATATAAATATTTGTTTTATATATAAAAAAAAAAAAAAAAAGAAAAAAAAAAAAAGCTAAAACTTTAATAATACAGTACCATTCAATGAATCATCCCCCTATACACCAGTCGCAAAGTAATAATTATAGTATAAATTATTCCTTCAATAACATTCAATCTATTACTATTATCTCATCTTCATTTTCATTTGGTTAACATTATAAAATAAAAGTATAAGAAGATAATAATAATAATAATAATAAAATAATAAAATATTAATAATAAAATAGAAAAGAAAAAAAAAAAAAAATAATTAAAAGAACAATTTTTAAACATGTCATCACCAAAATCACATTATAACAGATCACATCGTCATTCTGGTGGTGTTTCATCATCTGTATCTACCCCATCATCATCACCACGTTCACATTCATCAAAAAGAAAAAGCGAAACCCTATGCACTATTTGTTTAAAAGAAACCATTCCAATTCTATCAAGAGAAAAGTTATTTACCATTCAACATTTTTGCTCCATGGGATGCTATTCAAAACAATTACTTTTAGAATCATCCATCTTTGAAGCCACAATTTCCAATGAGGCAAATTCTTTGTCATCATCATCACCATCATCAACATCTATAAACCCAAATTTATCAACTAATGTTTCTTCAGAGTCTTCTTTTCGGAAGTTTGGCTTTAAATCAAATGATATCAACAACATTATCCAAGTTTAAAATTATAAACAACAAAAACAAAAAATGAAAAAAAAAAAAAAAAAAAGTAAATAAAATTTACTATATATCCAATGTATTCTAGTTTTTTTTTTTAAATAAAGTTTTTTAAAAGTTTAAAATAGTTTTTTAGTTTTTTTTTTTTTTTTTTTTTTTTTATCTCTAAAGATATTTATTTGTAATGATAAATTTTTAGTGTTAATATGATTTTGATAATAAAATAACAACGAGTTTCTTTTTGTAAAAAATTTGTATTAATGGAATAGACTTTTTAAACTCTAATACCAGATGATGTTGGGATTTCATGAGATTGTAATGGAACAACGTGTGGCTTAGTGTCAATGGTAGAATAGTCTTCATCGTCAGATGCCTCATTATTATTTGAATTTTCTTGATCTTTATCTTTGTTTATAACATCAGTGGATGAGGAACGACCTAAAAGATTAGAAAAGAAAGCACTTGGTGATTGCCAAAATGAAGTGGATCTATTTAATGGTTGTGAGGTTTGAGGAGTTGATACAGAGACAGTAGATTCTTTATTTTGGTGGTCAAACATTTGAGTGGCCTCTCTTGGTAATGGATACTTTTCAATTGGTGTAAAGGTATTTGGAGCTTCCATATTACTGCTTTGTACACCTGTAGATTGTGATAATTTGTTGAAAATGCTTGGATTGGCAGGGGTATTAAATGATGAATTTGGCTCGCTGGCTGATTGTCTAATAGTATTGAATTGTGGATAGATTATTTGGGTTGGTTGTACACCATTATTAATTTGTTGGAGGGTAAATGTTTCGATAACCTTTTCCATTTGTTTTATTTTTTCATCTCTTTCAAAGATACCACGCTCCATTACTCTCATTTGATCCATCATAGCCTTCATTTTTTGTTCATTTGCTTGATTTGTGTCAGATGCACCCATTTGCATTAAATAGCTGTTATCTTGATTTGGGTCCCATTGTAATTGTAAAAGTAAATCTTCTCTTTCAGTTAATAGTTTTCTATTAAACTCTATTTCTTTAATTTTATCTTTATATCTTTCTTCCAACTTATTATGATCTTCTTGTAATTCAAAATATTCTTCTCTAATTTCTCTAATTGTATCAATTAATTGTTCTTTATTTAAATGAAGAATACCTAAATATTCATCATCTTCGTTTATAACAATTTCTTCTTCGTTATTATTGTTATTTTTATCTTCTAATGTCATTTTTTTATAGTTTTTTATATTATTTTTTTTTTATTTTATTTTATTATTATTAAATATTGATATATAAAAATGTTTTTATTATTTATAAGTGTAAATATAGTATTATATTTTAAAACAACAAGTAAAAAAAAAAAACAAAAGGGAAAATATTTATAAATAAAAAATTAATTGGATAAAAAAAAATATTAATAATTAAATAATATATATTATATATTTATTAAAAAAAAAAAATTATTAATAAAAATATAATTTGTGGGCATTAATATGTGGGGGTAAATGAAAGGTATTTAATTTTTATATATAAATAAAGTGTGTTTGTTAAATAAAAAAGAAAATTTTTATTATTTTATTTGTGTGGGTGTGTGGTAGTGTGGTAAATGTATACACAGTCAAATCGATATGATATAAATTTTTTTTATTTTTAAACTATTTTCCTTTTTAAACAATAGCTATATTAAACAATTGTACACCCCTTAAAAAAAAAATTATTAAACTTAAATAAACACATATAAAGTACTTTAAACAAAACCCAAAATATAACACAAAACACACATACTTTTTTAACGAATAAAACCACACACACATATAAACACACACATTTTTAAACTTATTTTAAAACAAATAAAAATAGAAATAATTATAAAAATAATAAAAATCATTAATTTTTGATATATCTTGTTTATATACTATAAAAATTTACTATTTAGTTTATATAATTATTATTTTATATTTATTTGTCATTATTACTATCTTGATTATTATTGTCATTTGTTATATTTCCTAAATCACTATTGGTACCAATATTTATATTATTACTATTACTATTATCATTATCTAATGGGATTGCACCGGTGGATAAAGTAGTTGAAACTATTGAATCTGTTATATTTGAGTTTGTATTTACAGTGTTGGTATTTGATGGGGATGAGGATGAGGATGATGGAGATGGAGATGGTGGAAATGGTGAAGATAAATCATTCTTATTATTATTTTCATTTGAGTCGCTTGTTAAAACTTCCATTACAAAATTATGATTGGTATAAATACAAATATCAGCTGCAATCTTCATTGATCTTTTAGCAATTTCTTCTGGATCTATATCTGGGACAGTTAAAAGGGCACGAGCAGCAGAAAGTGCAAAATCACCACCACTACCAATAGCAAGAATACCGTCATTTGGTTCCAAAACATCACCATTACCATCAAGAGTTAAAGTGATATCCTTGTCGGCAACAATAATACTTGCCTCTAATCTTCTATAATATTTATCGGTTCTCCATTGTTGAGCCAATTCTACACAACTCTTTAATAAAAGACCACGATGTTCAGCGAGTTTCTTTTCTAACAATTCAAATAATGTGAATGCATCACCAACTGAACCTGCAAAACCAGCAATAATTTTTCCATCAGCTAATTTTCTAATCTTTTTGGCATTTGGTTTTACAATTGAATGACCCAAAGTGCATTGACCATCACCAATAATTACGACCTTACCATTTCTTCTAACTGATAAAATTGTGGTAGATTTCATTCTATATGGATCTGAGTGCATAGCTGCTGGATTACCTCCCATACCCCAATATGGTACTGGTGGATAATTATAATTGCCACCTGTATAATAATTTTGTTGTTGTTGTACTGTTAAATTTGGAGATGATATTAAAACATTATTTTTTAATGATGGAATTAATAATTTATTTGTTGAGTTAATAAATCTGTTCATTTTTGTAGAAATATATATATAAAAAAAATAATAAAAAAATGAAAATGGTGAAATGAAAAAAATTTTAAAAAATAATAATAATAAATGAAAAAAAAAAAATAATAAATGAAAAAAAAAAAAAAAAATTAAAAAAAAAAAAAAAAAAATAAAAAAAGGTGATTTCGTAAAAATTAATTGTATAACTTCAATAATACTTATTATATTATTTTTTTTGTTTATTTTTAATTATATTATTTAAATAATTATATATTTTATTTTATTTTATTTTATCTATTTTGTTTATATTTTTTTTTTGTTTTTTTTTTCTTATTTTTTAAACATATTATTATTGATATTAATAATTTGTTAATTAAAAATTATTCATTAAAAAGTTGGTGGTTCGCATTTTAATGAATAATTTTTAATTAATTCATTATCAAATAATTCACCAGGTGGTTTTGAAAGTGCTTTTTGAATTGATGGTAATGATCTGAAAATGTGTTTTTGAAGTTGTTGGGATTGTAAAATTTTTCTTGATATTTGACGGTAATGGAAAAAGTTGACGATTCCACCTGGTAATAAACGTGGTGAACTAGTTTCGATAAAAGATAATTCATCCAAGAGTAATTGAATATTTGGAATACTAGGTGGTTTGGTATCGAGTAAAGCTTCTCTATATTTTTTATGGTCATTTTCTTTTGAACAAAGTGATTTTAATTGTTCAAAGAGGGATAAGATTTTTGGTGAAACATTCTTCCAAGTTTCAGAAAGACGTTCGATGGAGCTGTCGCAAAGGGGTTCAATGATACTAAATACACCAGCATAGTCATAATGAGACAATAGCTTATCGGCAGTTTCGATGAAACGTTCAATGGTTGCAACTCTTTTTTGTAATTGAGTGTTCTTGAGTACCTCGGTTGAAACATATCTTGAAAGATCGTTACATTTCTTTACAAAGGAATGAATGTTTTCAGCTGGTATAATATCGACAAATGAAGAACCAACATAAGGTGATTGTTCATCTCTACATTTTTCCCAAATATATTCTAAAAACTCTCTACCTTTTATACGATTGAAATGAATAGAGTTGATAATTGTAATTTGACGAGCTAGTTCTAATGGGTGTATATCAGTTACTTCTAAATATTCACTAATTGTTGGTGGTGGTATTATACTAACTGGATATTGATAATTACAGTTATTACCATTTTGTTCATCGCTATTGTTATTACTATTATTATTATTATTTATTGAATTGCCAGATAAATTTAATTTTATTTTACTACCTTGAATTGTATTTAAGATATTTTCAGTATTTATGCTATAGGCGCCATCTGAACTATTATTTAATGATTCATGAAGTTCTGTTCGTTTCTTTTGTAATTCGGTAATTAATTTTGGATCTTGTAATGATTCGTTGGTTGAAATGGTATTGTTCATTAAAAGAGCGGTACTGGCATTTTGTTGAGCAGAGATTTTGTCAAATTCAGATAAATTCTCTTCCATATTTTCCTCGAGGAAATCTTGTGGGTAATAGTCGATCCAACGTTTAAAGAAAATAATTACACGGAGTTGGATTACTCTTTGGACTTTCTTCCAATTGTTAAGGTCTGAAGAAAAATTATCTGGAGAGTTTGCAATATAACGAGTTAAGAGCAATTCGAAAACTTGTTGTGGCTGAACAAAGCAACGATAGGTTAAAAGGAAATCTTGAATGTAGGAGGTGTCATAATAGTAATCTGATGTTGCTCTTTCTATCATCTTGGCAATGTGATCCAACAAAACAGTTTGCTTATCGGTATTGTATTGTTTTCTCTTTAATGTTTGATAACCCATATTCTTTGGTTTTGCTGCAATTTTCCAAATTGAATCACTTGGTTTAGTGGTGGTAGTATTATTTTTATTTCCTGATACTCTAATACTATCTTTGGATGGATTATAAGTACCGTTAGCACCTGCTGCTGCGGAACCACCATCTGAGCTTGAAAGTGATGGTGGTTGTTGAAATTCTGTTGATTTTCTGTGGAGTGACATTGTATTTCTTCTTGAATGAGCCAATGCTACATGTTGTGGTGGTGGTGATGATGGAGTTGCAATATTGTTATTTGGTTGTTGTTGGTTAGTTGTGGTGGTGGTTGTTGTTACAGGAGTTGCTACATTTTGAGCAGCATTATTATTATTATTTGAAGTTGTTAATACATTTGTTGAAGAATTTAAATTAATTTGTTGAATACTGGTGGTAATATCTGGTGAAATTGCTGCTGGTGAAATAATTGGTGTCATTGAAGAAATTGGTGTTTGAATGAATGGGGATGATTGTAATGAGGCAGCAGATGCAGTGTTTGCTGCCTTAACTTGAGCTTGAACTACTTTTAATTGGTTAACAACCTCTTCAAATTTTGGTCTGGTTAATGGTTCATAAAGACAACATTCAATACAAATTGAAATTAATTCTTGTGGACAACCTGCAATTGCTTTTGTTTTTAATTCTTCTGGGTTAATATCAAAACATGTTTCTGGTGATCTTACCCATAAATCTACACCTGGTTTTCTTCCTGTAATTAATTCTGCCAATACTACACCATAAGAAAATACATCACAAGATGTATCATAACTCATACCCAATAAAATTTCCTAAACATTTTTAAATAAAGAAATTAATTAATTAATAATTTATAATTATAAAAAAATTATTTTGGGTGAGATTTTTTTTATTTTTTAAAAAAAATTTTTTTTTAAAAATAATAAATAAAAATTTTTTTTTTAAAAAAAGTTTAAAATCCGATCTGTGATAGATATTTATGCATAAAAAAAAGCGTGCAATTATTTTTGTTATTGGTTGCATTTTTTAAAAAGACAAAAAAATGTATGATAAAAATAAATAAAAAAAACTGTAAAAAGTATACTTACAGGAGCTACCCAACCTTCAGTCCCACACATAGTCATATGTCTTGATTTTTTAGTTTGTTCACTCATTCTTGCGAAACCAAAATCACATAAACGAATTCTTTGGAATTCATCAAGCTTTAAAAAAAAAAAAAAAAAAAAAAAAAGAATTAGAGGTTGTTGAATAATTTTTCAATAAAAAAATAATTACCAAAATATTTTTTGATTTTAAATCTCTGTGAATAATTTTCTTTGCATGTAAAAATACCATTGCTTTTGCCAAGTCAACAGCAATTGAAACTCTTTTTTCCCAACCAATTGGTGGGGTTTGTTTAAGTAATTGTCTTACGTCACCACCTGATACAAATTCTGTTACTATATACAACCCAGTTGAGTGAACACAAATACCTGAAAAATTTACAATAAATGGATGTCTAAGTGATCTATAATTTTTAAATTAAAAAAAATAATTAATATATATTAATTATTTTGTTATAGTAGTAGTAGTTGTTGTTGGTTTCGAATGGTTGGTTGTTTTCATTGTTAAGTTGTTGTGTTGCTTTTGAAGTTGATATTATTATTATTAATAATATTAGTTTTTATTTGTACATACTGTAGCATTGAAACCTCTCTGTCAATATATTTAAGATATTCTGGATCATCTGCTTTTTCAATTTTTTTAATTGCTACATCTAAACCTAAATAACTTCCTTTAAATACAGAACCAAAACTTCCCTTACCAATACGTTCATGAAATTCTAAATTTTCAAAGGGAATATCCCAAATTGCCTGTGTTGGTAAACCTGGATCTGCTTCTGTCATTTTATATATTTATTTATTTCTATAAAATCTATGATTTCTTTTTTAATTTTTTTTTTTTTGATTTAATATACTATTATACAATTACTATTATTATTATTATTATTATTTATAAAATTCAGAAATAAAATAATTTTTAATATTTTAAAAAAAAATATATATTTATATAATGAAATAAAAAAAATATTGTGTAGGTGTGTGGTGTGAGTGTTGGAGAGGGTGATAAGTTTTTTTTTAAAATAAAAACAAAATAACAATAATTTAATTTTTTATCTAATTATATGATTTTATATATTACAACAGTTTATTAATTTAATTTTAAAAAAAAAACAAAAAAACAAAACAATAATTTAATTACAGTGAAGGAGCTGATAAGGGTGAAATAATAATATTGTTGTTTTATTATTTTTATTATTATTATTGTTGTTTTTGTTGTTGGTTGTTGTTTTTTTTTTTTTGAAACAAATCCTATCGTACACTAAAAAAAAATATAAATAAGTTTAAATAAAAAATAAAAAAAAATAAAAAAAAATAAATAAAATAAATTTATGCCTTTATAAAAAAAAATAAATAAAAATTTTTTTTAAAAAAAAATTTTAAAAAAAAAAAAAATTAAAATAATAAAATTTTAAAAAAAAAAAAAAAAACTGATTTTTTTAATGGATAATAGGTGTTTATTATTATTGATTTTTTTTTGAATGTTTTTGTTGTTGAAAAACCAATAAGGATCGAGATCTTTTTCTTACTGAGATAATTTTTGTTATATATGGAAAATTAAATGTTTGTGATTATAAAAATAAATCAAAAAAAAAAAAAAAAAAGAAAAATTTAATAACACCCCCGCTACCCCCAACGTGGGTGATTAAAAGAAGATCAATTTTTTTTTTATCTTTATTTACCTTGGTGAAATTTTAATATTTATTGAATAGCCATTCTGGACAATATTTATTTATTACACAATTGATTTGAATATAATAATTTGATTTAAATATTTGAATTGATTTGATTGATTTAATTTTTGTAAATTAAGTTTTTGAGTTTATTTATTAATGACTATAAGGCTTTGAATTCTGTAGCACAAACATTTTACATTTAATATAAGGATGGTTGATTTAAATTAAAAATATAGAATTAAATTTTTTTATAATTTTAGATAAGGATTAACTAATTTTTTTCCCTCTTCATAACAACATACATAATGTGTGTTTAAGAAATAAAAATCCATTCTTCAAATTAAAAGAAGGTTTCAAGAATATAAAATTTTTGAAACTGCCCCAGAAATATCAAATGTTTTAAATCTAATATATAATAAAAAATCGGTTATAAATATATTAACATAATTTAAAAATAAATAGAATTTTCTCATATACCATATTCCCTAAATTTAATCATTCAAGAAGATCTTTCATATTAAGATTTGGAAGCACAAAATAAATTTAAAACAAAGATATGAAAAAAAAAAAAAGAATAAAGTTTTATGAAGCAATGGATATTGGTTTCTAATTAGTTTATTAGCTTTTTATTTAATTTTTTAAATAAATTTTTTTTCTTTTGGTTGTATATCTTTAACTTTGAAAAGAAATTTTTATCTATATAATCGATTACATGAGTTGTACCTTCTGCAATAAATATAGTTTCTACATTTGTCGGTATAATTTCTTCAGTTAACTTGATAAAGGGAATAATTAAAATTTTAACGCTGGTGGGTAATTGCTGAATTAAATCTATATTGGTGTTTAAATTTCCTAAAAATTCAAATATTAAAAGCTGGTTTGGGAGATTCTCTAAAGCTTTGGTATAGTAGTAGCCTAATGAGAGGGACTGTAGGGATGGTGGAAGTGTGCCTTGGAGAAATGGCTCGTCGTAGTACCAGTTTAACTTTAAAGATTTTAAATTTGGTGGAAGAGTGTTTGGAGGTATTGGGGTATTAATCGAATAAGAAAAGTCCAGGCGGGTTATTGATTTTGAAGATGATATTATTTGTAAAGGCAATATAGAGTTAATTGGGACTTTAAACATATCTCGATACGAGTCCAAGACTATATTTGATTTTTTTTGAATAAATAAACTCTTAAAAACTAAATTATTTCTTGATACACATTTAATTGATTTAATGTGATCAGGTAAAACTGATAGATTTGGTCGCTCGGTTTCTTCAAAGAAAAAACGTTCAAACTGGTAATCGAATTTGTATTGTGTTACACTTTGAGGGAAAAGGTCAATAAGTTCATGGTTACACTGAATAGTAGTTATATTTGGTGGTAATGAGTCAAATCTATAACCAGAGCCAAGTTTGAGTACTTTTAAACCAATAGGAAGTGCTTCACATTGGATAAAACTATATTTTGGTGATTCATTTTTTAAAACTAATTTCTTTAATGTTTCGGGTAAAACGCCAACAGGAATACTCTGATCGAATGAGGGATCTAACTCTAATTTTAATAGGGTCTGGGGAAGGAATTGTAGTGGCCTATTAAACATTCCATCATATAAATAAAGTACCTCTGTATTTTGCGGAAATCTCATATCATGATACAACTTTGAGATTGATCGGTTGTAAACCTTTAGCTTCTTTAAAGTTTGTGGTAATGTACAGAAGAAATTTAAACTGCAATTAACAAGCTTTAAACTTTTTAAATTCTGTGGTAATTCAGTCGCCTGACTATTTCTATAATCGGATATGGTATAGATTAGTTTTTTTAATTTTGATGGGAAGTTCCATGATTGTTTGTTGATATCATTGATCTCCAACACCTCTAAATCGCCAGGTAGTAAAGTTGAATCATTTTCGCTATCATTTAATACATCTGATAATACTAAATGTTTGATATGCTTGGGTATATACATTGAATAAATATTTGAACAAAATAAAGGTACCCCACCAATTTTGACATATTCTATATTTTTTGGTATTAATTCTAAAAGCCTATAAAGATGTTCATCCTCGTCTTCTATATACACTGATTTGAAATATTCCAAATATTTTAATCTTTCTTTTGTTTGGTAAGACCCTCTGAAGAATATATTAAATTTAAAGATATTATATAAATGAAGAAAATGAAATATCTTCTCTCTTAAATAAATATTTCTAAACACTCGAAAAAAAAGTATATTATTTTTATTATCTATATCGTTATTATTATTATTATTATTTATAATAACCGTGTTGTTATTCATTTTATTGTTTTTACAACTACTATTATTACTTGTGCTATTATTGTTATTGTGGTTTATTTGTCTATTATTTATTATTACTTTTGTATTTCTTTTTTTTTAATTTTTAATATTTTGATGAAATTAAAGAATAAAAATAAAAATTAAAATATTAATTGCAATTTAAAAAAAATATATATATTTTAAAAAATAAAAAAATAAAAAAAAAGTTTTTTAAACAATTTTTTTTAATTTTTTTTTTATTTTTTATTATTTTTATTTTTTTTATTTTTTTAAAAATATATTTATTTATTTATTTATTTTCAAATTCATTTTATTATAATTATAAATAAATATTTACCAAAAAATGGATATTTTTATATTATATTGGATTTTTATATTGGTAATTACAGCTGGATTAGTTTCAGCATCGGTATTTTGTATAGTAGCACTTCAAGATTTAGAAGCAGATTTAGTCAATCCAATTGATCTTTCAAGAAGATTGAATCCATTATTTAAAAGTGAAATTACTTTCCACATTGCATTATGTTTACTATTTTTCGTAAATTTTGAATTTATTTTATTATTAGTAAATTCAGTACTTTTAGGTTTTAATATTTATTGGTATTGTATACAATTATATTTATAATATCAGAAATAATAATAATAATAATAATATATTTACTAATAATTTTGTTTTACTTTATATAGGATGCTCTCTGGACAAAATAAGATATTTGCTGCAGATATTTTCAAATTATTACCAGTTTATAAGAAGCGTTATACAATTAAAGTAATTTTCTATATTGTCACCTTCTTTTTATATTTATATTGGTTTATCTCCTATTTGGTCCATGCATATGCCGGTCCTTCATTAAAAAGTATGAAGATCCCAACAATTTAAAAAAATAAGAAATAAAATAAAACTGTATAAAATATTTAAAATAACACACAAGTATTTGATTTCTTTTTTTTTTTTTTTTTTTTTAATTTTTTTTAAAAAATTTTATTTATTTATTTAAAAGTTAATATAAATATATATATGGGTGGAATTATTTATAATATGAAAAAATTGATTACAAATATAAAAATAAGTGGGAGATAAAATAATGAAAATCACAATTACGTATTATGTAGTTGTTGTTATTATTATTATTTGCAGTTGGTTATTATTGGTTTTTTTTTTTTTTTTTTTTTTACAAGGATTTTTTTTTTTTTTTTTTTTTTGTTATAAAACTAAAAAAAAACTATTTAACCAAATAAAGCTTTTGAAAATGAATTCCAGCCCCAAGCATTATTATCTTTTGTTTGTTTTTGTTCTTGACCAAATGAGATAATGGAGCCCCAACCCCATCTTTTTTGTTGATTATTGCCGAAATTTTGTGGTTCTGGTAAGTAATCTGGAGTGGTATCTTGTTCTTCTTGGCCATCGACAATTAATGAGGATGAAAGACCAACATGGTTACGAATTACCATTTTAATTTCATCAGAAGAGAGGGCGGTACGGACAGTAGCATGACAGGTATTTAAATCGATCATGAATGAGATGACACCTTTAGTTCTTAAGAAACATTCTTCTAATTGCTTTTTAGTGCTTTCGTTATTCATACCCTTGACATGAAGTAAAACAGTTTTAATTAATGATGGATCAATAGCTGGAGTATTGTTGTTATTATTAGTGGATGATGGCTTCATTGGGGTGTTACCAATATCCTTAATTGGTAATTTTTCACCAAGTAACATTGAAAAAGTAGTTGATTTTTTAACATTATTATTATTAATATTTTCAGAGTTTACTGTATTGTTTTCGTCATTGATTCTTGTGGTTTCATTGATTGATTTTTGTTGTTGGCTATTGTCTATAGTTGATAAAATTTTATTTATAATTGATTGATGTTGTTCTTTCTCTTGGAATTTTTTTAATGTTGATACTAAACCTGGCTCTTTAAGCATTGGTTGTTTGTTATTTTCGTTTTGTGATAATAATTCTAATGTCTTTAAACATAATGTAACCATTTCGTCTTCACTTTCATTGCTGCCCAATAACATTACAAGTACTGCTAAACATCCTTGATCTTTAACGATATGTTCCCTATGATCTGGGTCTTTTGATAAATCATATAATTGTTGTACAATTGTAATTGCACTCATTCTATAACTTTATAATATTTATTAAATAAATAATAATAATAATAAAAATAAACAAAAAGATGTAGTTTGTGTATATATATAGGTTGTGTGTAATATATTATTATATATTATTTTTTTTTTATTGGGTTTATTTAATATTTAAAAAAATTATGATTATTTATTTTTTTAAAAAAATATATTAAAAATGATTATATTTTAATATATATACAATTTACAAATACGATATATAGTTTTATTGAAAAAAAAATAAAATTATTGATATGAAAAAAAAAAAAATTTTAAAAAAAAATAAAAAAAATAAAAATTTGAAAAAAAAATAATTTTTTTTTTTAAAATACAAAAGTTGCTTCCAGTTGAGCGCCAAATTTTTTATTTAAATATTAATATGGATACAAAATTAATATAGTAATTTGAGTGGATTTATTGTGTTTATCTGTGTGAACGTGGGTGTGAGTGTGAGTATAAAAGCTTTTTTAAATATATGGAAATTATTTTATCACATAATTTTTTATTTTTTTAAAATTTTTTTTTTTTTTTTTATTTATATATACATTTTTGGAAGTACTATTTTTATTTTATTTTTATTTTTATTTTTATTTTTATTTTTATGGTAATACATGAATTGACGAATTATTATTATTATTATTATTGTTGTTACTACTATTATTATTGGCGGATATGGTAGTTGTGCTTGAGCTTGAGCTATTATTTATTTCATTTAAATCATTATTGTATTGTCTAAACTTTGGAATAAAATCTTTGTTGATATAAATTGAAATTCCAGCAGCTGCAAATAAAAAACAAGTTCCAATCAAACTTGTAATCCATCCTACGCCAGGTCCCCAAGATTCCCCACTGTTGTTACTTCCTTTAAAGTTGCCCTTGAATATTGCTGTAAAACAGGTTGATGATTTGTCGCAATCTTTTTCGTAGGCTTTATTAAAGCCCAATGCAATTAGAATCGAGAGGAGGGCAAATAAAAATGCTATTAATGGTAAAAATCTCATTGCGACGATCAACCATTTACCATAAATATATCTTTGTAGTATTTGAAATAGGAAACCAATCAACACTAAATTTACAATAATAAATGATAGAATTGTAAATGCTATACATGCTCTAAATAATGATGATTCATTACTGCCATACTTTGTGTATTTTGCTTTATAGTTTTCTTTATTTGTAGTATTTTCGATTTTGACCTCTGTAAAACGCCATTGTACTGTTGTATTTGTATTTGAATTTTCATATTTATACCAATAAGCTAAATAAAAAAAATAAAAAATTAATATCTTTTTAATCTTTTCGATTTCACCTTATATACAATTTATACATACTGGTTCCTGAAAATGTAACTATTAATAAAATCCATGATAAAACCAACAATGAAAAAAATATAATATGTGGAATTTTATATAAATTTATATATTTATATTCATCTTCGGAAATTTCTTTTTCTTTCATTTTTTTTTTATAACATATATATTTTGATTAATAAATAAATAAATTTTGATTATAAAATTATAAACAAATGGTGAAGAAGTTTTTTTTTTTTTTTTTTTTTTTAAAAAACAATTACTATAATTTATTATAACTGAAATTAAATTATTTGTACACAACAACTATTTTTTTTTTGATAAAAAAAAAAAAAAACCAATAAAGGTTTGAAAACATTTTTGTGTGTTTTTTGTAAAATTAAAAAAAAAAAAGAAAAAAAAAAAAAAAAAAGAAAAATTTAGATGTGGGGGTATGTGTGTGTGATAAAATAATGTTCGAACAAGAAAAAAAAATAATTTTGTAAATTTTAAAATTTTAAAAAAAAAAATTTTTAATTTAAAAAAAATAAAAAACAAAATATTAAAATAATTTTAAAAAAAAATATATATATAAAAAATAATAATATAATGGTAATTAGTTTATATCTATTTTCATAATAAAAGATCATATAAAATATTCCATATATATAATTAATATATATCAATATTTTATTTTCATAGAAAATATTTCAATTATTAATTTTTTTTTTTTTCATTTAATTTTTTTCAATCCAATTTCATATTTTTTTAAAAATTACCATTATAAAATAAAATAAAATAAAATAATACAATAAAATAGATAAATAACCAAACAGGAACAAATGAGGATGAAGAATATGATAGGAATTTAGGAGATGAATGTTTTGATAGTTATATGGTGGATGAAGATGAAGAAAATGAAGATGAAGAAAATGAAGAAAATGAAGAAAATGAAGATGAAGAAAATGAAGAAAATGAAGAAAATGAAGATGATGAAAATGAAGAAAATGAAGATGATGAAAATGAAGAAGTTGATATAATGGAGGATGATGATGATGAATACCTTCAGGAACATGAAATTTTAGATTTTGTATCAAATCATTCAAACAACTTATCAATGCCCAGCGATGAAATTCATAAGATGGAACAACAAATACCAAATCTAATTAAAGATATTCATTCAGATAACCCTGATGACATTTTACATGCATCCACAGAAATTAGAAAACTATTACAGATTGACAATTCTCCTTTTTTATCAAAAATAATTAATAGTGGGGGTTTACCTACATTTATAAAGTTGTTATCATGGGATGACCATCCACAAATCCAGGTAAGTATTATTATAATCCAATTATTTTTATTTATTACTAATTTATAAATTTAAACAATAATAATATAATAATATAATATAATAATATAATAAAATAAAATAAATAAATAAATTAAATATTTATTAAAACTATAGTTTGAATGTTGTTGGATTCTTACAAATTTAGCGGCATCAACAAGTGATCATACAAAACTATTAATTGATGAAGGTGCAATTAAACCATTGGTTAAGCTTTTAAAATCAGATGATGAATCCATTAGACAACAAGCATGCTGGACTTTAGGAAATATAACATGTGACTCTGATGAAAATAGAGATTTAATACTTCACACTAATGCATTTCCATTAATATTGGATATAGTTAAAAATTTAGATGACCTCAAACTTGAAACCGTCCAAACCGTATCATGGACAATCTCAAATATTCTCAGATCAATAAGAGAAGCACCCCGTATAGAATACTTTAAGCAAGCCATCCCATTCCTATCAAAACTATTAGATTATCGAGATGAAGAGGTTTTAAAGGATACCTGTTGGTCATTGGTTTATGGTATTTCTCAAGAAAATATTGCTATAACTTCAAGAATACAATTTGTAATCGACATAGATCCATTATTATGTTCAAAAGTAATTAAATTATTATACTACAAGAATATTGATTTGCAAACTCCCTCAATTCGTTTCATTAGTTTTATATCATCAGGTACTATTGATCAAGTTAAACATTTATTAAAAACAAAAATAATAATTAATAATTATAATAGCTATAATAACAATGATAATAATAATAACAATATAGATATTATAAATAGTAAAGATAATATTTATAGTAAAACATTAATATCATCATTTTATAATTTACTTCAAATACCCAGAATATCACATATGAATGACACAATATGGAGTCTATCACAAATCATTACAGCAGATGAAGAGCAAATTAAAGAATTAATTGACGGTGGGCTAGTACCAATTTTAGTAAATCTTTTAAACAATGCAGATTCACCAGTCCAAATCGATATATTTTTAATTCTTTCAAACTCAATTGTAAATACTACATCACCTAAACAACTATTGTATTTATTAAGTCAAAGTTGTCTAAAATCAATATTAAATTTTTATTTATATGGTTCAGCTTCAACTGACCCAACTTTGCCAAATGAAAAATTAATTAGAATTTTATTAATATGCATCGAAAATATTTTAAATATTTTTCTATTTGATAATAATAACAAACAAAATAATCAATACTATCAACAATGTTTAAAAAATCTTCAAGATTCAAATGGACTTTTATTTTTAAAAAAATTACAAAACCATTCAAATAAATATATCAAAGATAAAACAAATACTATTTTAAAAAAAATATCAAATAATAATAATAATAATAAATAGCAACCATAATAGAAACTTTAAAAAAAAAAAAAAAAAATGGAAAAAGTAAAATGGGTATAAAAAAAAAAATAAATAAAATAAATTCTTTATGCTATTAATTGTTGATTAAAAATAAATTTTATTACAACAAGATTTATTTATTTATTTTATTTTATTTTATTTTAATTTTATTTCATTAAATTGATCCCAACCAAGACGTTAATTTTATAAGTAAAAAGAAAAAAAAAAAAAAAAAAAAAAAAAAAATTTTTTTGGATTTTTTTTTTTTTTTTCAATTTTTTTTTTAAAAAATTTTTTTTATTTTTTTTATTTTTTTTATAAATTTTTTTTATTTTTTTTAATAATTTTTTTTTTTTTTTTTTTTCAAAAGAGAAAAAAATATACACCACACTAAACAGCACACCTGCTTGTTGTTTGATTTACTTTATATAATTATAGAAGTATACCAGTGTATATATATTTATTTATTTATATATTTATTTATTTTTAAACCTTAAACCAAAACCGGTTTATGTGTTTTTTTTTATAAAAAAAAAAAATTTTATACTTTTTTTGTTTCGTTGTGTTGCTTAGATAAAAAATCATATTCACACACACACCACCCCCACCCACAATTTTATTTATTTTAATAATATATTTAAATTTAAAAATTTAAATGTAAGTAAAAGATTACTCTTATAAGTACCTTTATTCCTTTTTATTATTTTTTTATTTTTTTATTTTTTTTTACTTTTTTTTTTTTGCAACCCATTCATAATGGTTTTTTTACACGCTTTATTTTTAAAATTTTTTTTTTTTTTTTTTTTATAATAAAAAAAAATATCTTATTTTTTATTTTCTTTATTATTCACTAATTCTCACCTAGAAACTAATAAAATTTTCTTTTAAACAAATCTAGATAGTTAAATTTTTTTTTTATAGTAATAAAATCCTTGTATAATAATAAAAATTAAATAACCCAAATATAAAATTTATTAGAGTAACCGTATAGTTTATACTTAAATAATAATGTCACAACCACCATCACAACCATTTAATAAGCCATCATTAATTGCAGCTAATGGTGGCAATCTTAGTAGTGGTAATTTAAACAATACAACAGGTGGAAGACCTTTACCAGTCCCACCATCATCTGTAAATAGTAATAGTATTAATAATAGTAGTAATGTAGGAGGTCAGCCAGCTTCACCTACACCTTCAGGATTAAAATCACCACCACCACTTAAACCAAGAGCAAAAACTGTTATATCTAATGGCCAACAACCAATTGTAACATCACAAAACACATCATCATCGAATTTATTAGCACCAACAATAAATAATAACCCACAACCACAACCACAACCTTTAAATAATGCAAACACTCCTCAAAAATTATCACCGCCACCAACCTTACCAAGAAGAGATTGGCCAAATAACAATAATATATCAAATAGTGGAAGTACAAGTAGTGGAAATTTGAATGGTTTAGTTAATAACAATAATACAACACAACCAATTAGGCAATCAGTTTCTCAAGATAGTGGTATAAATAAATCAAGTGATCAAGTTAAGCCAGTGGAAACACAACCACCACCACAAATAACACCACCACCAGCTCAACCACAGCAACAAACACCAGTTCAACCACAACCAATTTCTCCATCAAATTCATCAACTTCATTATCATCAGTAAATTCATCATCATCGGCAACATCGACACCAGCCACATCGACACCAGCAACACCATCATCATCCACATCAACTACACCATTATCTACCAGTACATCAAATTTACCAATGTCACCACCACAATTAACACCACCAACTACTATTCCAATTTCAATGTCACAATCAAACTCAAATAATAATCTTTTATATTCGTCATCTGCTCCAACCTCTTCATTGAGTGGCTTTAATAACAAGGCACCACTTTCTCCATCTTTAACTAAACCAGAACCATTACAATTACCACCAGCTGTTAGTTTAAGTAGTGGTCCAAATACTCCATCTACCACCGAAATTAGTAATAAACAAAAGAGAAATTCATTAGGTGAACAAACTTCAAGTACATTAGAAAAAATGGTAAACAATGAAAACAATGAAGGTAACGACGAGGATGGTGACTCTTCAAAGAAGGGAAGTAAATCAAAACCAAAGTTATTCCCACATCAATGGTCAATGGGTAAATACACTGAAAAAGAACGTAAAGAAATGGAGAAAAAAGAAGAAAAAGAACGTAAGGAGTTAGAGAAAAAGGAAGAAAAAGAACGTAAAGAAAGAGAGAAATTAGAGAAAAAAGAAAAGAAAGAAAGAGAAAAATTAGAAAAGAAAGAAGAAAAAGAAAAAGAAAAAGACCACAAAGAAAAAGATCATAAAGAAAAAGATGTCAAAATCGAAAAGCCAGCTGGTCTCTCTAGAACTTCATCATCTTTTGCCTCCAAATTAAAACATGCAACTCTTTCAAGAAACGCTAAATACGATTTAGAAGATGATTCAAACCCAAATAGTGCTTCCAGTGTCGGTAGTAATAGTCCATCGCTCACTCCATCCAACAGAGATAGAACTTCGCAATCAATGAGCTCTAATGCCACCCCAATTAATGTTTCCTCTTCAAATATTACTATTTCAAGCACCAATAATGCTTCGTCCTCAAATCTTAGTATCCACAGCAACGTCTCTTCATCTCCTTCAGATTCTGATTCGAGTAATATTAACATTGGTGGAGGTGGTAATAGCTTATCATCATCACCACCAAATAGCCAATCTCCATCACTCTCATCCACTAGCCACAGATCCGCTATTCATTTGGATACAAGTCGTGGTTTAATGACTTGGGGTTCCGCTTCAAATTGTAAATTGGGTTTCAAAGTCGCTTCAAAAGAGCAATCTCAACCAACACCAGAACGTTTACCAAACTTTAATGTTTCCGATATTTGCAGTATTTCATCTGGTTCATATTATAGCGCTGCTCTCACCGAAAATGGTGATGTTTATATGTGGGGTCGTGGTTCAGTTAAGAATCCTCCAGTACCAGTCCTTGGTATTCCACAAATCGAAGACCAATTACTTCCAATTAAATTAGAGTCACTTACTGATATCGTTGTAGTTTCAATTGGTTTCTATCATAGTGCTGCTGTTAGAGCAAATGGTGAATTATTAACTTGGTAAGTTGAAAATTTTATTAATATAATTTTTACATGAATTTATTTTAATTATTTTTATTTTTTTAGGGGTGTCGGTGAAGAAGGTCAATTAGGTCATGGTGATACACAAAATCAAGTGGAACCAAAAGTTATCCAATCATTAACAAGCTTTTGGATTACACAAGTTCAATGTGGTGAAAAACATACCATTTGTCTTACAAAGAATGGTAAGGTTTACACTTGGGGTAGTTCAGAATATGGTCAATTGGGTTTAGGAGATACTACACGTTATTGTAAACCAATGCCAGTTACAGCATTAGAAAAATATAATGTTCTCCAAATTGCCAGTGGTAGTACTCATTGTGCTGTTTTAACAAACTCAAAAGAAGTTTTAGTTTTTGGTAACGGTGCTGCTATGGGTGCTGCAAGTATTATTTCAATTCCAACTTTGGTTCCATCATTAAAATATCTTCATATTGATAAACTTTGTTGTGGTCATTACTCAACAGCTGCAATTTCTGAATGTGGTGATGTCTATACATGGGGTACTGGTCAAGAGTTGGGTCATGGTAATAACCAAACTGAATCAACACCAAAATTAGTTGAAGCTCTTAGAAATCAATCCATTCGTCAAATTAGTTGTGGTGGTCGTCATACTGCTTTCTTAACCGATTCAGGTCGTATTTTTACATCTGGTAAAGACTCATTTGGTCAATTAGGCCATCAAGCTGGTGATCAAAATAAACCAAAGAAAATAGAATCATTAACAAAAACAACTTTCATTTCAGTATCATGTGGTGAAAACTATAATATCGCATTATTTGACACAACTAGATCATTTAGAGATAAATTCTGTTGGAAATTATTAGAAACTCAAAGAACTTATGTTAGAACACTCGACATTATTCAAACTATCTTTTTAAATCCACTTAGAGTCCGTGATCGTGATCAATTACCAGAACCAATGAAAAACCTCCCATATATTTTCTTGTCTGAAGAAGAAATTAGAACTATCTTTGGTACAATCGAAAAATTATACGCACTCAATAGTACCGTTCTTCACGTTATCAACAAGAGATTCGCCAATTGGTCAAATAAAAAGAAAGTTGGAGATGTTCTCTTAAATCACTTTAAACACTCCGAAGATACCTTTATTCAATATCTTGAAAATTTACCATTGGCCCTTACTACCCTTGATAATCTTTGTAAAAAACAAAATGCTCCAATTGCTGGCTATCTCAAGGAATGTGAAAAACTTGCTTTGGAAAGAAAGAAACTCGATACCGATGATGACCAAAAAGAATTTAATTTACGTTCCCTCTTAATGGAGCCATTGAATGTTATTTCTCGTTATCATAAATCTATCAATGGTATGGTTAAATACACTAAAACTACTCACATCGATTATAGTGGTTTAGTTGATCTCGATAGTATAATGGAAATTAAAGTTACCAAAGTTACCAATATGCTCAATATTGTATCCTCACCAACTTCATTACAACAACATCTCACTTCAAGTCCAACAGTCACAACAACCGCAGCCTCTGAAGATTCTACTTTCCTCAAAGAATACGATATAAAATTAGAAGCTTTACAAAACTTCAAAAAGACTTGCACAAAGATAATTAAATCATCAAAGAAATATTACGAAGTCGAACCAGATTCATTCAAAGAACAAGGTCATTTCTCTGAACATCTTATCAATGTTAAAGCTTGTTTTGATGGTAATATTGATCCAGCTTTAGCTTCATCAATCGATCAATTCTCAAATAGTATTAAAAAGATTGGTTACCTTCGTAGCGAACTCTCAACTCGTACCCATACATCTTTTGCACAACCACTTCAAACAGTCGCCGATGAATTAGAAAACTTTATTCCATTAATTGTAGAAATGAGAAAGCGTGTTTTTGAATCTCATACCGAATACGAAAATGCAGTAAACAAACTTTATTCACTTGCTAAAAATCTTCAACCAACCGAAAAGAAAATGATTGAAGCTGAAAAGGAAGTAGCTTCACTCAAAAAGACTTTAGATAAAACATTATTCGAATTTGATGCAATCTTTAAAGAGGGCATTTCAATTCAAACTAAATCATTAAAACTCTTTTATGCCTGTATGAAAGCTCAACAAGAATATTATGAACGTGGTCTTCAAAGATTCCAATCAATGAAACCATCATTCGACGCTTTAGACACTTACTTTAGACAACAAAGTAGAAATAATTGGGCTAAATCGATCCATGATACTGTTACAACTACTTTTACAGCCGAAAAAGGTGAAAAACCAGCCCCATCAGCCTCATCAACTCCATCATTATCTGGTGTAAAACCATCACAAACCAGTTCCGTTGCCTCCACTCCATCTAGTATTGCTGCTGTTGTTGTACAAAACGAAGCTGCAACTTCAACTACTCCATCATCAGCCCCATCACCTCTTGTATTGTCAACTTCACCAGCTTCCCATAGTGCTATTGCAGGTGTTGTAGGCGATAGTGTTTTATCATCCACTCCAAAAGATCAACCATTTAATTTATCAAATGATAATACAGAACATCATCCAGCTCCACCAGCTCAAACTTTAACTGTACCTGTCAATAAACAACCACAAACCATTGACCCATACCAAATTATGACCGAATTAGAACATTCAGATTGGAGTTTCTTAATGGATCCACCAACTTCAAATGAATTTACCGATACATTTATTGAAGAGCAATACAATAATCTTGTTGAAATTTTAGCTTCACCATCACTTCAAGTAGTTCAGTGTGTAGTTTCACCAGCTCAAGTCGATCAACAAGGCCCAACTATTGAATCAATAAGTAGAATCTTTGAGTCATTCGGCAAGATTAAACCAATTATTCATGCTGGTATAGAACAAGAGGTACTCTCCACAGCAAATCCATCAACTCTTTTCCGTTCTAATACTACAGCAACTAAATTAATGACTGCTTTCACTAAACTTAAGGGTATGCCATACCTTCAAAAACATATCACCCCATTAGTACGTGAAATCATCGAAAATCCAAATGGTTACGAGGTTGATCCAGCTAAAATTAACGAAGGAAGTGAAGAATTAATGACCAATATGATGAATCTTATTCAAATTTGTGAAAAATTCACTGATGCAATTATTGATTCAGTTGAATACCTTCCAATTTCACTAAGAGAGATTTCATATTATCTTCAAAAAGAAGTTGTAAAGAAATTCCCAGATAATAAATATAGTAGCGTTGGTGGTTTCATCTTTTTACGTTTCCTTTGTCCTGCTATTTTAGCTCCACACACTTCTGGTTTAGTTGAGGAGCAACCAGGACCAGAAGCCACAAGAGCTTTGGTTTTAATTGGTAAAGTACTTCAAAATCTTGCCAATGGTATCGAGTTTGGTCAAAAAGAATCTTTCATGATCCCAGTTAATCGTTTCATTATTGGTAATGTTAACCGTCTCAATGCCTATTTCGATCAACTCACCGATGTATCATTAAATAAGAGTGATAACTATGTCACTGGTAACTCTAAAGAAGAAGTTCAAAGAGATATTCGTAATATTCATCTTTTAATTGTTAAAAATCTTTCAAAAGTTATTAAACAATTGGCTCTCTATAAACAAAAAGATATTATTGGCCAACTATCTAAAACTTTAGTATTTTTAGGGGATCCTTCATCTATGTATAAATAATAAATAATAATAATCATAATAAATAGAAATTAAAAAAAAAAAAATATATAAAAAAAATAACAAAACCATAAAAAATAATTATAAAAATTATAATTTTTTATAGTAAAAATAGTAATAGTAAAAATAAATATATAACTAAAATTGTATTTTTAGAATATTTAAAAAATAAAATATAAAATTAAAAATTTAAAAATAAAGTTTATACTTAAATCTTTTTTTGTTCTCAATACTTTCAAAAGCTATAATAAAGATAAATATATTGTAATTATATTGAGGAAAAAGTAAAAAAAAAAAAAAAATTAAATAATAAATTAATTACACCCAAATTCTATTATTTATAAAATTATATAAAATTTTATATTTATTATTTTAAAATTTTTTGATGTTTCAGTATCCTAATACTGAAAAAATTTTCGATTAGTCCGATCGAGTTGAAAATAATTTCATATACCGTTTCTAATTAAATAATAACCCAGTAAGAATCTACGGCAACAAGATTTGAAATAATTAATACATTTGAAAGTTGTTCTGGTTACTCTGAGCCTGTTGTAACTTGCTCGCTGACAATTGTAATATGCTTGGTAAAGAAAAAGTTGGATGTTCCCGATGGTAATTGATAAACAAAAAGTGGATATTTATTCAAATAAAGAGGCTCATAGATTTCTAATTTTGATGTTGACCTTAGGAATGAAACCACAACATTTTCATTCGAATTTGATGTATTAACTGAGGGTAATAAATTAAAAAAATTGATGCCATGGTAATTGGATTGATCATGAGAGTTGGTTTAATTTCTTTACCAAACTTAAAATAGGGATAACTAAAAATTTTCTTCATCTAATATTATTCTATGTTCTACCATATTTACTTGGCCAAAGAAAATTTGATAGATATAATATGCATCAAATATTTAATCAGTTTGAAAAATTTCATAAGAGTTGATTAATTCTTTTTAAGTTGGTTTAAATAAATCTTAATACTTTTTATTATTAATACTACTGTATTTTGGTTATAAATTGAAGCTAATTATTGTTATGGTTGTTATCATTATGGTACATATATGATGTAGAGTATGGAGTTTGAACAGGTATGACATTTGAAATTATTTTTCTAAAATTTGTTTGAAACTAAGCTGAACGAATATGATTTAAATCACATCAAACAAAAATACCTTTATTATAAACTTAAAAAATATATGTTAATAATTTTTTATGTTAATGTTTTTAAATTTTATTCTAGCTATTTTACTTACTTGCATTGTTTGATGTAAAAACATATAATAAAAAAAAATTAAAAGAAATAATAAAATTTTTAAAAATCGTGGTTACACCTTGGAGTTATGATAATACTGTATTGGGCTTGTTTGTTGTATATAAGGTGATTGTGCCCCTTGAAATATAAAATGAGTTTTGGTTTTAATTGTGTTTAAATGTTTGTTTGGGTGTTGATCTTTGTTTAGTTTTTGGTACATGTGTTGTTTGAGGTGTTGGAAATGGAGTTCGGGTTTTTTTTGATCTTGCCCTTGCTCCAGATTTTGGTTTTGGAAATAGTTGTGGTGTTGGTGAAGATGGAATTGGGGATGAGATTGGGGATGGAATTGGGGATGAGATTGGGGATGAGATTGGGGATGGAATTGGGGTTGAAGTTGCGGATGGAATTGGGGATGAAATTGGGGATGGAGTTGCGGATGAAATTGGGGATGAAATTGGGGATGGAATTGGGGATGATATTGGGGTTGAGGTTGTGGATGAAATTGGGGATGAGAATGGGGATGGAATTGGGGATGAGATTGGGGTTGAGGTTGTGGATGAAATTGGGGATGAGATTGGGGATGAGATTGGGGATGAGATTGGGG